AGCAAACAACAAGTACCATGGGACTTTCTGATGAATATGTTTAGTCAATTCAAATATGATTAGTACAAATAAATAGGAACCAAGTGTTGAGCCTTGGTAAAGACCCATCATAACTCATAACCATAAAATCTAATGTCTCTCTAATAGGTGTTTTGATATTGGTTATTGCCCCTTCATGCATATCTTTGATTAGGTTCACATACCTATTTGGAACTCCTTTCTTTTCCAAAACCCACCATAGTATCTCTTTAGGGATTCTATCATATGCTTTCTTTAGATCAATGAACACCATATGAAGATCTCTCTTCTCTCTAAGTTTTTCTATCAATCATCTGAAAAGAAAGATTGCTTCCATGGTTGACCTCCTTAGAATAAACCCAAATTGGTTCTCTGATATATTTTTTTCATGTCATAAGTTCATAACTTTTGCTCGATTATTCTCTCCCAGAGTTTCATAGTGTAGCTCATGAGTTTAATCCCATGACAATAATTACAACTTTGCATATTGCTTTTGTTTTTAGATATAGGCACCATAGTTCTCTTTCTCCATTCATTAAGAGTCTTCTCTTCTGTTATCTTATTAAATAGTTTAGTTAACCATAACAATCCTACCTCCCCCATACTTCTATTGAGATACCATCATGTCCTAATAATTTCCCCCTTTTCATATTATTTAGTGCTTTCTTCATGTTTGCATTCAGATTCTTGAAGAAAAGAGAAAACATAGAAAGGAGGAGGAGGAGGAGGAGGAGGAGGAGAGTTGAAAAAAATAGGGCGGCACTCTCTAACCAGCCCATTAAAATGATACTTATAGTAGGGCAATAATAATTACATGAGATGACAACTTTACCCCCATTAGTGAGTAGAGACGTAAAAAAAAGAAGGCCCAAGCTGATTAACACTTAATAACAGTACAGCCCAACAGAATAGAGAATGTTATAACATAAATGGGTTGAAGCCCATACTGTTAAGTCCCACAACGCTCCCCCTCAAGCTGAGCATAGATGTCCATCAATTTTCTTGTCATTCCTTTCTTTGTCTTTGGTGTTGTCCCACTCAAGGGATAAATGATGATCAAGCTCTTCCCATAAGCCTTCTAGTGTAGCAAAATAAGTTGCAACATTCTTGTCCCCTTGAGTCAAACTAGAGATGTCTTGATTTAGCCTATAAATCCTTGTTATATTCTTCTTTTGACCATAAGTGTTGTACAGCTTTTCCCAAATCTTATGGGTTGTTGTATAGTGCTGAATAATCTTTGCAATTTTGGGAGTCATAAAGTTAGCAACCATGACACCACAGTTGCATTTACCCTACACCAAATCCTATAACCTGGATCATCTTCCTTGGACTCCTTAATTTTCCCATCAATATAGCCTTGTAATCCATGACTTACTATGGACCATCTTGCTAAAATGACCCATTCCCTATAATTGTATTCATCTAGTTTCACATTAGTAATATGTACAATAGGATTTCCAAGATGAATAACATTATCCACAATCCTAGAACCTCCAGATGAGACTTCACTTATGCTAGAAGGCATCTTGAATTCACCCAAACTGTTATTTAATTAGTGGAATAGGTCAAACGGTACCTCCCTTTGCTTGAACTCCAAATATAACCTGGGCTAGAGCACACACAAATCTCCTGGACTGATACTACTTGTAGTCCAGCGGTTAGGCCTGTTAACTAGGTCTCTCTAGTAATCCATATGACTACTCTACAGCTCCGTGCCCTACCTAGGCATAGCAGCAACTATTTCGGGCCTCCTTTGAGATTTTTCCAAGGAAAGAACCCTAGAAACAGATTCAGCTGACCAAGACCAGCAGTAGAGTTCTTTCTTGTTGCTCCAACAATAAAAGAAAAAGGAAAAAAAATATGAAGAGAAAGGAGGTGAATAAAAGAGTAGGTGAGCAGAACAAGAGTAGGTTATTGCTCTTCAAGAATCTGAAGGCGGCACTCTCTAACCAGCCCATTAAAATGATATTTATATAAGGCAACAATAATTACATGAGATGCCAACTTTACCCCCATTAGTAAATAGAGATGTAACTAAGAAGGCCCAGGCCCATTAACACTTAATAACAATATAAACCAACAGAATAGAGAATATTATAACATAAATGGGCCAAAGCCCATACTGTTAAGTCCCACAACACTTCATACGTGTTATTTTTAATACTATTAGAGTTATTAGTCTCTCCTTCATGAGCACCCTCTAAATGTTCTTCATTTAATAAATTTTCAAAATAATTTTCCCATCTTTCCTTGATTTTCTTATCTTTTACCAAGACTCTTTATTCTTCCTCTTTGATACAGCTAAGATGGTTTAAATCTCTACCTTCTCTTTCCATGATCTTTGCTGGTTTACAAACTCCATTTTCTTCTTCTTTAGTGCCTAATTTATGAAAGAGTTCATCATATGCCTTAATCAAGGTTTAAAATGTCAGTGCCAGTGGAAATGTTGGTCGTCCAAATATAAGAAACATGTCAGAAATGTCGTATGGAAATATTTTAAAAATCATAGACATGGTGGAAAGTGGAAACATTGTAAAACATGCAAAATATAGAATGATATTTTATGAAATAAATGTTAAAAGAGTCATATGCACACACCTTTTTAAATTATTATCTTGTTCCAAATCACTAAACAAAGCAAAGAAACTAAGGTTATAGACTAAAGAATACGTTCTGAAGTTGTCTTATAAACCTTAAGATTCAAAGCTTCATGATAGAATGAGTAAAAACAAAATTTAAACTCATAGAAGATGTAAATGGTTGTAATATTTCAACCAAATAATCTATCACAAACAAAAACTAATATTTAACTTCATGCTTGAAGTGAATATTGGGCTAACTCAAAGTTGTAACCATTTAAGTTAGGCATGCAATAACATTGTTACTCCACATATCTACAATATTGTCACCAACTTATGTTACAATACTATCTCTTACCCTTCACATAGTGCTGGTAGTGTTCATTGGGGAATATGTATGTCATGGAAACTCTCTCTTGTACTTCACATAGTGTCGGTAGCGTTCATTGGGGAATATGTCGATTCCAGTAAATTTTCATGTTGCTACCCACGGAAATGGAAATATGCCATGGAAATATTAGGGAAATAAGGGACATTTTAAACCAGGGCTTTAAACATAATATATAATACATTTTCAAGCACTCAACAATGCAAGCATGTTAAACTTTAAATCTCTTTATTTCTTTCCAATTGCATTACTCTAGTCCTACAAGCTGCTTTGTATAGAGTGAGGCAAGCCAAAACAAGCCCATGTTAGGGACTAGCCTAACATAGTTTTATTTAAGACCCTAACATGGATTTACTCTGCTGATCCTAGAATAGGTTCAAGAGAGAAGAAAGGAAGAATTGCTCTGGTACAAATAAGTATAAAACGACAAAGATTTATTGACTTAATCAAGAAATAGGTTTTTGGGAGAAGAGAATTGAATAGTCTCCCAGTCCCCAGAATTGAACAGTCTACTTTCTCTCATTTCATCACCTATTGGAGATACTTTGCAGAAAAAGAAGGGTTTAAATCTTAGCTTTGGGGGGAGAGGATAGGGAGGGAGAGAATAACCAGAATTGCATAAAGAATTCTCCTGGCTATAAGACATGGGAGTCACCAAGTCAAAGGATCTCATTTTCTGTTCTAGCTCCTAAACTCACATTTTGCCTGTTCTATTTTATTGGTCAAACCTTAATCTGTATTATTACATATTTTAAGGATGCCTCCATTCAGTTGTCGTATTAAGGACTACAATTCCAATTGCACCATGGGTTACTCCTTCCTCTGCATCTTTACCTCCAAGGTCCAAAACTTATAATGATATTGATACCAATAAACAATTTCCAACTCTCCAAATATTGGAAGAAGATTCTCCATGGTGGTAGTTCGACTGATCAAGTACCAACTGCAGATTTCTTTTAAGGTAAAAGATTTTTTTATCAGAAAATTTTTTTTGTATTAATGGATTAAAAAGGTAATTCATACAGCACGATCATAGGAAATTTATTCCTTAAGCAGTTATGCTCAAAAACCCCATTACAAACCAGCCCAAAACAGCGGCTGTCTTTTTACACCCTGTTTAGCCAGTGAGTCAGCAAACCCATTTGCACGCCTTCTGACCCACTTAAACTCAGCCCCTATGTCTTTCACAATCTCAGCCACTTCCCTCATCACATGTCTCAAACAAGGTTCAAAGTATTGATACGATACACATATCGGCAGTACCGTTTCGGTACTTAGAAATGCCCAAAACTCTTTTTTTTTTCAAATTTTGGTTTTGGGAAGCTAAAAACAGGTTTTTTTATTAAAAAAAGTTAGGGTTCCGAAACACCTGCAAACAGGCGTTTCGGAGAGTATCTTTTTCAAAAGATACGATACGGGGCATATCGTAACAATACTTTAAACCATGGATCCAAGGGATATGTCTTCTGGTGTTTGCCCATGAAATGGTTACTTTTGAATCCCCTTCAGCCTCAATTAACCTTTAGACCAGTTGTTTGGCTTCAGCCTTCCACTGATCTTTAAGGTACAAGATAACAAATGCATAGTGTTTCCTTTCCTTTTCTAGCACTTTAAAGGACTCTAGGTATTATTCTAGATTTCCTTCTCTTTCTTTAATATTTATGATATTGTTTCTCTTTTTTTTTCAATACTTTGAGACTGTGTTATTGAAGTGAACTTTAGAAAAACAAGTAATCAGAACAATATTGATTTTTCATCTAAGCCTTATCAAGGCCATGTCTAGTACTCCAGAAAAGTCTTCAGAATTTTCGCAAACCATGCAACTACAACATTCACTTGATAGGATTAAGTTACAAATCTTTCATCTTCCATTATCCTATTGGGTTGTTAAACTTTGTTTGAAGCTTATTAATAAAGATCATCAAAGAGTAAAAGAAGATAATAAAAAAACCTGATATTAGGATATGCAAATATAAAGTAATATCTAATTAAAACTATTAGAGAGGACCACTCACCTTTATAGTCACACTATGCACATTTCCATATCTTCTTAATCTTCCATTGATGCTATACTTAGAAAAGAAATCAAATGAACCACCGACCTTCGGTACACCGAAATTATCATGGTTTCCTCTAAGATCATAGAATATATTCTTGTCAAGTCCACTCCTTCCAATAACATCTTCCATTACTTTTTGATATTCAATCCACTCATTTTCATCTTGTTTCATTATTAACAAATCTTTGCTCTTCCCATCTGGCCAGAGAAACATCAAAAAGAGGAAAGAACACATGCACATTAACATTAGATTATAAGTTCAGAGAGGTACATGTGCACAGATAGAGATGTGTACAAATAATAACATGTGAGTGTGAGCACACACCAATACATACTCACAAGAACAAGGAGTCATAAAGGTCTTTCAAGATTTAAAGTACCTACAGGGCCAAAAGATAGTCCATGCCATACCTTAATAAGGCCCTCAAGTTTTGCAAACTATAGGCCTTCCTTTATTCCCCATATCATTTAGAAAGCTATGGGTTCTTAGTTCTATTCGCCCTCCTAATATAGGTTCAAAATGTTTTTCTAGCTCTTTTCTATTAGAATTTGAGATGTAGATCAATCCAAAGTAAGGGTGCAACTTAGGCTGGTTGGGTTGGGTTCAAGGCTAACCTAGGCCTCACCTTAAGATCAAGACCTCGGACTAAGGCCTGCCATGACCTGAAGTCAATGCCTGAGTTTACCAATCCAGGCCCAACGCAAGCTAAACCTGACATATAACTCAGGTTGGACTTGGGCTCAAGCAGGTTTGGTGAGACCTGGGAAGACTGGTCAAGTTTGAAAGCTATCCTACTCATGTTTTGCATTTCTACATTTTCATTTGGACTTCATTTGGATTTTACAGTCCAATATTGAAAATATACTCTAGAAAAAGTATATTATACATAGCAAAGATAATATATTATTCTACATGCTTGTGCATGTGTAGGCCCAGGTTAAACATAATAGTAAAAACATTCAAGTATACAAAATAGTTTTATGTATAACATTATACATAATATACATGTATACATAGTCTAGAATAGAAAGAAGAAAGAGAAGAGAATAAGAGAGCAGAGAAGAGAGAAGGGATTGCCAAAAAGTAATGGGGGTGGTGCCCCACTTGACTTATATATTAGGGTGTTCAAATAAAAAAGGGATATTACAAGAATACCCCTGATTACAACTTAACATAGGAAACTCATAAAATGGGCCCACTAACAGCCTACTAACGGCCCAGTAACAGTCCTAATAACATTCCTAACAACACTCCCCCTCAAGTTGGGCTGTATATATCTATCATTCCCAACTTGGAATAGATATCCATATGTCAGGTACCTGAAACACCTTTGGTGAAAATGTCACCCAACTGATCCATAGAATTTACACAAGGAATGCAGACTTCCCTAGATTCAAGTTTCTCACAAAAGAAATGTTTGTCAACTTCGATATGTTTTGTTCTTTCATGCATTACAGGATTGTGGGCAATATTGATTGCTGTCTTGTTGTCAAAATACAATGATATTGGGCTGTGAACTTGAACTCCCAACTCCTTTAACATATTCGTTAACCACAAAATTTTTACAACTCCATGTGCCATGACCCTATATTCTACTTCTGCACTAGACCGAGCAACCACCTTGTTTCTTGCTTTTCCAGGTTACCAAATTTCCTCCAATAAAGGTGCAGTAACCTGTAGTAGATCTCCTATCATCAACTGAGCCAGCCCAATCTGCATCTGTGAAGACTTCTACCTTCAAGTGGCTACGCTTGGAAAAGAGGACACCTTTACCAAGAAACCTTTTTAAGTATTTCAAAACATGCTCTACAGCAGCAAGATGAGTAGTCCCAAGGGCATGCATATACTAGCTCAACACCCCAACAGCATAAGCAATGTCAATTCTAGTCATGGATAAGTACAACAATCTCCCGATAAGCCTCTAGAACTGCCTTGCATCGGAGAGAGGCTCCCCGCCTTCTTCACCAAGCTTATGATTTCTATCAATTGGTGTATTTGCAAACTTGACTCCAAACTTACTAGTATCCTGTAGAAGATCTACAATATATTTCCTCTGAGAAATAAAGATGCCTTTGTCTGATCTCACAACTTCAATTCCAAGGAAGTACTTTAAAGGGCCTAGATCTTTGATATCAAACTAAGATCCTAAGAAACTTTTGTATCTCTGACTCCCAATTCCCCGTAATGACAATGTCATCCACATAAACTATAAGAATGGCCACCCAATTCCCTTCTTAACAAAGAGAGTATGATCACTTTGACACTATCTAAAACCAACCTGCTTGACTGCATTATTAAATCTGCCAAACCAAGCCCTTGGAGATTGCTTCAGATCATACAACAACTTCTTGAGGCGGCAAAACTTGCATTTTCTTTCCTTTAAAGCAACACTTGGAGGTTGAACCATATAAACCTCCTCCTCAAGGTCACCATACAGGAATGCATTTTTGACATCTAACTGGTGCAATCCCCAATCAAACATTGTATCAAGGGAAATGAGGACACAAATGGAGTTCATTTTGGCAACCAAAGCAAACGTTTCTATTATAGTCAACCCCATATGTCTGAGAAAAAACCCTTGCCACCAACCTTGTCTAATACCTTTCTATGGAGCCATCAACATGATGTTTCACAGTAAACACCCACTTACATCCCACGGGTTTTTTACCCTTAAGAAGGTCTACCAAATCCCATTTGCAATTCTTATGAAGAGCATCAAGTTCCTCCAGCATTGCATTTTTCCACTCAGGAGAATTCAGGGCCTCTACAACAGACTTAGGAGCAGATACATTAGAGATGGCAAATAGAAAAGAACGATAAGAAGGGAATAAGTTGCTACAAGTGGTAAAATGACTAATGGGATGCTTAGTAGTGCATCAATGGGCACCTTTTCGAACAGCTATAGGGTGATCAAGATCACAAGTAGGATCACAAGAAGAAACATTACCAAGTTCAAAAGGAAATGCACTACCTTTCAGGTTTGCCTCCTGAGAATCCTCTGATACAAGGAGAGTAGTCTTAAGTTCCTCTTATCTGTTGACGTATGCTGACCCAAAGGATGAGAATGAGATCTAGAGCGGGAATAAACACAATAATCAGGAGCATGAATAAGCGAACAAGAATGATATGAAGCAACGAGGGGAACCGAAGGCTCAGGTGTGGAAGTGGGGAACCAGAATTCGCTTTTCCTCCAAAGTACTATTCTCCCCCTAAGGAGAAGCAGGGAAGATGGAAAGAAGGATCATAACACTTATATACCTTTTGAGAGGTGGGGTACCCAAAAAAATACAAGTAATAGAACGTGGATCAAGCTTACCACAAGATGGAGACAGATCTTGGACAAAACACCAACATCCAAAGGTACAGACAAGGATAGAAAATAATGGGGACTTAGGAAACAAGAGTTGGTGTGGGGCTTGAACTTGAGTACACGAGTAGGCATATGATTGATAAGAAATGCAGCTGTCAACACATTATCGGCCCAGAACCTCTTAGGAACATGCATATGCAACATCAAACTTTGGGCCACTTCAAGGAGATGCCCATTCTTTCTTTCAGTAATACCATTTTGTTGTAGGGTCCTGGGACAAGTACTCAAATGAATAGTACCATACCAGGAAAAAACCTTATTCTGGTTATCTTTGAAGTATTTTCGAGCATTATCTGAATGAAACTTTTGCACTTCCACATGAAACCAAGTGAATACCGTTTTCTGAAAATCTTGAATTACTTTTAGAACTTCATCTCATGAACGAAGTAAATAAATCCAAGTGTATCTTGAGAAGTCATCAATGAAACTAATGAAGTATCTATAACCTCCTTCAGCAACAAAAGTAGTTGGGGCCCACACATTAGAGTGAACAATTTGAAAAGGAAATTCAACAATTTTATTTCTTGGAGGAAAACTTGTTCTACAATGTTTGCTTAAAGGACAAGTTGGACACTAAAGTGAAGACTCAGACATTGACTTAAATAAAGTTGGAAACAAGACTCTTAGAGACGGAAAAGACAAATGATCCAAATGGTAATGCCACAGCAAAATTTGGGCATCATTACAAGGACTCTCAGACAGACTCACAAAACTTGTTATATTACTCGACTCTAGAGCTGCAACATCATCTAGAATGTAGACACCATCAACCAGACAACCCTTACCAATCGTTCTCCCAAAAGTCAAATCCTAGAAAACACAAAAAAAAAAAAAAGTTACATTGCAATTCAAGGATTTGGTAATGCAACTAATAGACAAAAGATTGGTAGGAAATTTGGGAACATGATAAACTGAATGAAGAAGAACCCCATTTTGTAAGGGCATTGCACCTTGGCCAGCAATGGTGGTGTGTAAACCATCAGCTAGCCCAACTTTGTCTCTACCAGAAAGTAAACAATATGATAAAGACAAATTAGGTTTACCAATCATATGGTTGGTTGCCCCAAAATCAATGATCCAAGGGTTGGAGGATGAAGTAGACACATGAAATGTAAAGGCCTGGTTACCTGAAGTGGACACATATGAGGTAGAAAGAGTGATTAAGTCTCCTCAAGTTGACAGAGAGTCCTATCATATTCTTCCAGCTGATCACGTAAGGTATCCAGTGATCCCTCCTTAGAGTTAGGACCCGTAGAGACACCCTCTTGAGATGAACAACTAGAAACAACATTAGCCAAGCTAGAATTCTTTTGAGAATATTGTAGTTGCTTCTTCTGGAAGGACTGAAAATTCTCTAGCTTCCTAACAAGATCCCAACATGTCTCTTTAGTGTGTCTGGGTCTACCACAGTAAGTACATCTTAATTTTTTTATCAACTTCCTCAGTCTTCTTCATCCTTGTACCACGTTTCTTATCCACATTACCTCCCTTGGCAAAGAGAGCTACTTGTTGCACCCCCTGTAGAGGATTCATGGATATCCTCCTACTCTCCTCAGATTGAACGAGTACACTTGTTGAAGTGATGGGAGTTCCTTGTTCCCTAAAATCTGAACAGTTGAACCCGAATGGACTCATAACTAGGATTAAGACCTGCTGAGAAGGCAAAAACTCGCTGCTGATTCACAAGCCTTTTGTACTCTTGCATCTGATTCATTCTTCCAGTCAACACTTTGATAACGACCAAGTTTCCCCAACATGGAGGTAAAAGATGAATAGTAACTTGACAGACTTTTCCCCCCTTGTTTACAATTGGAGGACTCAACCCAT